AAGACAGTATCTTCAACAAGTGGTGCTGGCAAAATTGAATCTCCACTGGCAGAAAAATGAAACTTGACCCTTATCTTTCACCCTGCACAAAAGTCAACTCCAAATGGATTGAAGACCTCAATATAAAACCTGAAACTCATAAACTGCTAGAAGACAACATAGGCAGCGCCCTCCAAGTTACGGGCATAGGAATGGACTTTCTAAACTGGACAGCAGCTTCTCACGCAATAAAGCCAATCATCAATAAGAGGCATTTCATGAAATTACAAGTTTTCTGTACAGCAAAAGAAATAACTAAGGAAAGGAAGAGGAAACCCACTCAGTGGGAGAAAATCTTCACTAGATATACATTCAAAAGTGGACTGATATCCAAAATATACAAAGAACTTGAAAGGTAAGAAATAAGAAGATAAATGACCCAATAAAAAGATGGGGGATAGACCTAAACAGAGAGTTCTCAAGGGAAGAAATAAAAATGCCTAAGAAGCACTTTAAAAGGTATTCAACATCCTTAGTAATTATAGTAATGCAAATCAAAACGACTTTGAGATTTCATCTTATTCCAGTCAAATTGGCCAAGATCAAGAGAATGAAAGCCTCCAAATGCTGGAGAGGATGTGGAGAAAGAGGAATGCTCATTCACTACTGGAGTGAATGCAAACTTGTGAAACCACTATGGAAAACAATGTGGAGACCCCTCAACAAACTAAAAATGAACCTACAATATGATCCAGTGAATACCACTCCTTGTCATATATCCAAAGGACTCCTTGTTCTGTAGAGATACTTGTACATCCATGTTTGTTGCTGCTTTCTTCACCATAGCTAAGAAATGGAAACAATGTAAATGTCCTTCAACTGATGAACGGTTAATGAATGTGGTACATCTACTCAATGGAGTTCTACTCAGCACTTAGAAAAGATGAAATTATGAAATTTACAGGTAAATGAATGGAGCCAGAGGGTGTTCTACTACATGAAGTAACATACAGGAAAGCAAGTGATGTATGTTTTCCCTCATTTGTGGAGTATATGTGAGTATATAAATCTGAAGTAACACAAGGAGCCAGGTAAAGGCAAAGGATATACAACTGTAAAGGAAAAGAAACAACCTAAAAGGGAGATAGTATGGAACAGATGTTACCTGAGAGAGGTTGAAAAACCGAGTAATTGGTAGGGAGGAGAGGAGGGAGGGACATGCAAGAGACCAGAATGTGGGGGAGTGAGGGAAGTTGGGGACAGAAAGATGTCAGGAGTTGGGAGGTATTGAGGGTAGGGTGGGAATGGTGGAGGCACTGGTACTGAGAAGGGAGGGAGGAGGGAGGCTGGATGGGAGAAAAAAAGTGGAGAAGAGTGAATCTCTGGGGACTAGGAAACCTAGAGGGAAACGTGATACCCTAAAAACCCTATGAGAAACAAACATACAGTGTTTGAACGTTAATGAGTATGTATACCTAGTAACTACTTAAAAGGGAATGCAGTGTGAGACAGAAGAGACCTCCCTTAGAGAGACAAACATGCCATATAGCACCCATTAAAGAAATTTCTTTTTGCAACAAATGGAGGGTACTGCAGGGTTGCACATCTGATCACTCATAAAGAACATGTGCCTGGGAGATGCCGAGTACACATCTGCAGTAAAATCTCTACAACCAAGACTTGCAGAACACAGTGGAATAAGGGGTAAAGAGAGGACTAATGCATTCCTCAATACTCGCCAGTGAGGTGTCCATGTACATCAGAGTGGGTTACACAACAGAAGGCCTCAGTGGGCCAAGTTTTGGAGAATAAGAGACTGTAGAATGTATGATGGGACTCCTATATGGAACCTCACCCACTCATGGACCATTGCAGATGAGGAGGTGGAAATAGTGTAAGAACCAGGAATGATTAATGAACAAGTGAGGTGGAGATTTCCAAGCCAGTGGAGGCTTGCTAATGTGTGCCCACTGCAGCAGTGGCGTGAAACACAGGACCCCTGTCAGCTCAACCAAACAAGGGCCAGAGGGGAGGTGAGAAAAAAGAGGCAGGTCAGCACTAGATAAAGAACTATTTGAAACTGGTTGCTGGTAGGTGAGGGTGAGCATGACTTGCATAAGATCACAGGATGGGCCGACTAGACTCCAGTGGACATATTTGCACTGAAGGTATTGGGTTACAAAAACCTGAATGAATAGAACTCAGCATGTATGGCCGAGTGCATAGGGTTTGGTGGGGGAATAGGGGAGGGTATGGATGGGGTAGCGGGTCTGGCTGTAAGTGAGAAATAGTGTATGAAATTTTAAAAGCGCAATAAAAAATAATTATGATAAAATAAATAAAACGAAATGTCAACCTATTCTCAGGCCTACTCCCTGATGCAGAAAGTTATTATTCTACTACTCAGTAAAAATCTATCATGCTCTTTTTGTGAAAAAAAAGAAATATATATGAAAACCCAAGCTGAAATGAAGATGGAATTGAAAAGCTCAGTAAGTCAGTTTGAATGACAGGAGAAAGGCTCTCAAACAGATTGAATTGATGGAAAACAGAATATCAGGTCTGGATGACATAGTTGGAAAACTGGACTGCTCAATCAAAACATAGGACAATAAAATTAAAACACAAGAGTGGAATATGCAGGAAATGTGGAACACCATGAAAAGGCAAATTTACCTGTCATAAGTATAGAGGACATAGAAGAAATTGAGGTCATTGGCATTAACCTGTTAGTCACCAAGATTATGGAAGAAAACTTCTCCAAATTATGAAAAAACCTACCAACACAGGTGCAAGAAGCACATTAGAACATCATTTCAACAGGACATAACAGAAACTCCTCACGGAATATCATAGTAAAAAGAATCCATCAAATTACGAGAGGGTACTGAAAGGTGTTAGAGAAAAATGGAATGTTATATATAATGAAAAATCCATCAGAATTGTAGCTGACTTTTCAATGCAAACTATGAAAGCAAAGAAGGCCTGAACCAAAATGTTCCCAATTCTATTGACCATAGATAACAAACTGAAGACATTATGCAGAAAAACTATATTTCAAAGTTGGAGGGAAAGAAAACTTTTTCATGATACCAATAGCCTGAAAGAATTCATGTCGACTAAACCAAACATAGAGAGACTACTCAACAACAAAAAAAGTACTAAAGATAAAAATGACTATACAAAAGAGGTTAAAGAAAGAAAAAATGAAATTACAGGAGTACTAATTGGAAAAGAAGAGGTCAAATTGCAGATGATACAATATTATACATAAGGGATCCCACCAAAAATGGAGAAGAAAACTAGGAGAAATGATCAACCCTTTTTTCAGCAAAGTCACAGGTTAAAAATAAAGTTAGAAAAATCTGTAGCCTTTCTTTATACCAATAACAAGTAGTCAGTGAACGCATTCATGATAACTGTACCCCCATCCACAATTGCTTCAAAAAAAATCTAGGACTAAACTCAAGAAACTAAAGATCTCTACAATTAAATTTTTAAATCTTTGAAAAGAGCAATAGAGAAGGACACCAGGAGATGGAAAGACCTCCTGTATTAATGGACTGATAGAATTAATATTATGGAAATGACCATTCTACTAAAAGCAATTCATAGATTCAAAGCAATGTCAGCTCAAATCCCCATGGCATTTTTCACTGAACTAGAAAAATGGATGCTAATATTAATATGGAAACACATAAAACCCGTGACAGTGAAAGCAATCTTGAGCAATGCTTGGTGAATCACCATAACAGATTCCAAACTGTATTACAGACTTATAGTTATGAATATAGAATGGTACCAGTGTGTGGGGGGAAAGAGACACATAGATAAGTGGATCATAGTAGAAGATGTAAACATGAATGTATGCAATTTCAGTCACCTGATATTTGAAAAAGGTACCAAGAATACATACTGGAGGAAAGACAGCATCTTCAACAAATGCTGAGGTGATAACTGAATCTCCTGGAGAAGACTCACATTAGACCCTGACCTTTCACCCTGAACAAAAGTCAAGTCCAAATGGATAAAACACCTCAATATGAAATATGAAACTCTGATTCTGTTTGAAGAAAATATATGCGGTATCCTGCAAGATATAGGTGTAGAAAATGACTTTCTAAATTGGACATCAGTTGCTCAGTCATTGAGGTAAACAATTGACAATTGGGAACTCATTTAACTGAAAATCACTCTGTATAGCAAAAGAAACATCCAAGTAAGTGAAGAGGGTACCCACTGGCTAGAAAAAATTCTTCACCAGTTACCCATCTGAGAGAGGATGAATATTCAGAATATACAAAGAACACAAAGTAAAGAAATAAGAAAATAAATGACCCAATAAAAAGAGTACCTGAGCAGAGCATTGCCAAAGAAGTAAAATGGCTAATAAATACTTTTAAAACTCCCCAGTATCATTATCAATTACGGAAATGCAAATCAAATTCACTTTATGATTTCAGCTTACCACAGTCAGACTGGCGAAGACCAAGAAAGCAAAAGGAACGAAATGCTGGTGAGGACGTAGACAAAGGGGAGCACTCATTCACTTCCGGAGCATTTGCAAACTCCTGTGAAGACTATTGGAACTGGCGTGAAGAACTCTTTAAAAATTAATAATGAATCTATCATATGATCCAGTTATATCACTCCTTACCATATACCCAAAGGACTCATCCTACTGTAAACATATCTGCACATTTATTTTTGTTGTTTCTCTTTTCTCAATAGTTAAGAAGTGGAAACAACTTAAATGTCCCTCAACTGAATAATGTATACTGAAAGTATAGTATGTTTACACAATAGGATTCTCCTTACTAGTTAAAGAAAGGTGAAATACATGAAATTTCCATTAATAGAATGGAAGTACAAACTGTATTACTAGGTGAAGTAACACAAACTCAGAAAAATAAGAAATGTATGTTCTACCTCCTTTGTGGATCTTAGCACCAAACACTTATATTAGAGTTTCTATCCTGATGTAACCACAAGAGACAGGAAAATGGAAAGAAACCATTGAGGTTTCTCTCTTCAGGAACATATATAACAAAATTGGAACAATACAGAGAAGATCAGCATGTTTCCTGGGCAAGGGTGACATGCAACTTTGTGAAATGTTCCATATTTGGGGGGCTGACTAGACTCCAGTGGATGCATTTACACAGAAGGACACTTGGGTATAAACACCTGAATGAATAGGACTCAGCATAAATGGCAGGGTGCATAGGGTTCAGTGGGGGGATGGAGGAGGCATATGTGGGGCAGGGGTCTGCATTTGAGTGAGAAATTTAAAAAGCTCATTTAAAAAGTTATAGAAGCCTGGGCTGCACAGCCTCCCATGTCCTGGTCCCAGCACCTTCCCTGGCCCAGCACGGGTTGAATCCCCCAGCCTCTTTCACCCTCCCAGCTCCCCAGCAAAGTCTCCCCTCCTAGGCTGGGTACAGGTCCATTTCTTGTCTTGGTACCCCCAGACACCAGAATCAATGCCTTGGCCCAGAGCCACCACTGTTTCCTGATCCTCTGCATCAGGACCAACCTAGTTCCTCCCTACCTTCCCCAGGAACCCTCTGGCCCAGGTCCCCCCTCACCTCCCTTTACTTCCCTGGGTTGAACAGCCTCTGGGTGGCCTGGAACAAGCACCTTTCCTGGTCCCCAGGAGACCTCTGGACCAGGTCCCATCCCCATATCCCTTTGCTTCCTAAGCGGCACAGCCTCCCATGTCCTGCTCTCAGACCTTCCCTGGGTAAATCCAGCATGCCCAGCGTTCCTTGATTACCCCAGCCCCCATTCTCTTTCATCCTCCAAGCCCCCCCCCCAAAGTCTCTCCTCCTAAGCTGGGTACAGGCCCATTTCTTGTCTTGGAACCTCAGATGCCAGGGCTAATCTCTTGACCAGAGCCACTGCTGCTTCCTGATCCTTTGCATCAGGATCAACCCAGTTTCTCCCTGTGGCCACCAGGAAACTTCTATGACTAGTCTCCCCCTCAACTCCCTTTACTTCCCTGGGCAGCACAGCCACCAGGTTCCTGAGACCAGCATCTATCCTGGATCCTTCTCACAGGTCAGACCAGCCCCCAAATTCTTGAGGGAAGAATCTTTCCTGGAGGGACCCAAACCTTAGGAGAAAGCATGATGTCATCTGGGCTTCATCTCACTTGGGCCTCTGTGGGAACACCAGAAGACAAAAGCAATTAGGCTACTCCAATATAAAATCAAAAAAGAGAACCTGAAGCCTAGACCAACCAGCTTTTCATTCTCAAAAAAGTAAACCACAAAGGCACATAAAGTTTACAAAAAGAAGATCTAAACTAAATAAAGAAAGGCTTGAGTCTAACACAAGAATCAGAAATAAGAAGGAAATTCATGTGTCAAAGTCATAAAGAAAAAAATAATAACATGAAAAACCAAAGTAATATATCCCCACCAAGAACCAATAGTCTTCTAGAAGAGTACAATGAGAACTCCCTAGAGATAACACAGGACATGGAACTCAAAAGAAAAATTATAAACATGATAAAAGAATTCAGTGAATTTAAAGAATACACAAAAAAATGAAAACAAAGAATTGAAGGAAGATAGGGATAAACTTCTGAATAAATTCAGAAGAGTTAGAAATATTGAAGAATACTCAGGATGAAATGAAGAAGGAAGTGAAACACTCAGTAAGCTAATTAGAAATGACAGAAGAAAACCTCACCAATACGATGAATGAAATGGAAAACAGAATATCAAGACTGGTAGATAAAGTGGACGAATTAGACCATTAAAGCAAAGATTATGAAAAAATTAAATAAACACAAGAATATGCAAGAATGGAGATGCAAGAATTGTGTAACACCATAAAAATCAAAATGAAACTTATGAATCATAGGCATACAGGACATAGAAAAATCTCAAGATAATGGTATGGAACAGATCTTCAACAGGATTATAGAAGAAAATTTCCCAAAATTAAAGGAAGACATGCCCATACCAATACAAAAAGCACATAGAACACCAAGCAGACAGGACCAGAAGAAACTCTCCACGGCACATCATAATAAAAACACTAAATGTTCAAAACAAAGAGACAATACTGAAAGCTGCAAAAGAAAAACAACAAATCACATATGAAGGAAAACCCATGAGGATTACATCTGACTTTTCATTGCAAACTATGAAAGCCAGAAGAGACTGGACCAAAGTATTTCCAGCTCTAAATGACTACAGATGCCAACCCAGATTACTTTACCCAGTCAAAATGTCTATCATAGTTGAAGGGTAGAAAAATCTTCCATGACATAAATAAGATGAAATAATTTATGTCCACAAACCAACCCTTCATAGAGTTCTTGAAGCAATATAAAGAGCTGAAGAAAGGAATGACTATACACAAGGGGTGATGGAAAGAAATTCAATGAAGTTATAACTGTGGAAATACATCAAGAATGTGAACAGAAATTCATTAGTAGCTTTAAATATCAATGGACTGAACTCCCAAGCTCAATAGATACAGACTAGTTGAATGGATTAAGAAACAAAATCCATCTTTTTGTTGTCTTAAAGAAACTCATCTGGCTTTCAAGGTCAGGCACTACCTTTAAGTGAAAGGATGGAAAAAAATATACCAAGCGAGTGGTACTAAGAAAAAAGCAGGCATTGCAATTCTAGTATCTGAAAAAATAGACTTTAAACTAAAACTAATCAGAAGAGACAAAGATGGCCACTTCATTCTGATCAAAGGAACAGTTAACCAAAGAGATATTACAATCATGAATATATATTCACCAAACTCTGGTGCACCTAACTTCATAAAAACAGTACTACAGGATATTAAGACACAGATTAATCCTAAATCCTAATAGTAGGGGACTTCAACACCCCATTGTCACCATTAGATAGGTCAACAGGACAGAAAATTAACAGAGAGACATCTGAATTACAATACCACAAATCAAATGGACCTAACAGACTCTTCTGAATATTCCACCCAAGCACCAAAGAATACTCATTCTATTCAGTGCCCGATGGGACCTTCTCCAAAACTGACCATGTACTTGGGCACAAAACAAACCTCAACAAATACAAAAAGAATGAAATAACTCCATGCATTGTATCAGACCACAGTACAATAAAGCTTAAAATCAATACCAGAAGAATCCCCAATTACCACATGAACACATGGAGATTAAACAACATACTCCTCAATGATGAATGAGTCAAAGAAGTAATTAAGAAAGAAAGAAAAGTATTTCTGGAACTAAATGAAAAGGACAATAAAACACAATAAAACCTCTGAGACACACTGAAAGCAGTCCTTAGAGGGAAGTTTATTGCTCTGAGTGTCTACATTAAAAAATCAGAAAGATCACAAATAAATGACAACATTGCAACTAAAGACACTTGAAAAGCAACAGCACATGAAACCCAAACCCAGCAGACAAGAAGAAATAACAAAAATCAGAGCAGAAATTAATGAAAAAGAAACAACAAAAACTATAAAAAGAATCAAGGAATCCAAGAGCGGGTTCTTTGAGAAGATAAACAAGACTGATAAACTGCTAGGCCAGTTAACCAAAAGAGAGAAAGAGAACCTCCAATTCAAGAAAATCAGAGATGAAAGGGGAAACATCACAAAAGACACCAAAGTGCTCCAGAACATTATAAGGGAGTACGGTAAACACCCATATGATACTAAATTTGAAAACCTAAAAGAAATGGACAGGTACATAAAAGCGTGGGAACCACTAAAGCTAAACCCAGAAGAGATTAACAGCTTAAACAGACATATAACACATAAGGAAATTGAAACAGTAGTAGAAAACCTCCAGACTAAGATTGAGGAAGACATTAGAAGATGGAAGGGCCTCCCATGCTTATGGACTAGAAGTATTAATATTGTGAAAATGACCATCCTACCAAAAACCATTTGTAGATTCAATGCAATGCCACTCAAAATCCCCAGGACATTTTCCACAGAATTGGAAAAAACATCCTAAGATTCATATGGAAGCACAAAAAACCTCAGAAAGCTGAAGCAACCCAGAGCACAAAGAGCAATACTTGGGGGATTACTATACCAGATTTTAAACTGTATTACAGAGCTATAGTCATAAAAACAACATGTTACTGGAGCAAAAATAGACCTGTAGATCAATGGTACAAAATTGAAGAACCAATTATGAGTACATGTAATTTCAGCCACCTGATATTTGACAAAGGCTTCAAGAACATTCACTAGAGGAAAGACAGTGTGCTCAGCAAATAGTGGTGGCAAAACTGGATAGCCACGTGTAGAAGAATGAAACTAAACCCATATCTTTCACCTTGTACAAAAGTCAGCTCCAAATGGATCAAAGACCTCAATGTGAAGCCTGAAACTCTGAAACTGTTAGAAGAAAATATTGGCAATAACCTACAAAATATAGGTGTAGGAAAGGATTTTCTAAACTGGACATCAACTGCCCAGGGAAAAGGTCAAGAATCAACAAATGGGACCTCATTAAACTAAGAAAGCTTCTGTAAATCAAAAAAAGCAACCAAGGAATTCAAGAGAAAACCCACAGAATGGAGAAAATCTTCACTAGTGACACATCTGACAGAGGTTTATCATCCAGAATATATGACGAACACTAAAAATAAAGTATCAAGAAAGGAAGTAACCCAATTAAAAGATGGGCTAAGGAACAAAAAGAGTTCTCAAAAGAAGAAAGAAAAATGGCTAAGAAGCATCTTAAAAGGTGTTCAACATCACTAGTAATTAGGGAAATGCAAATTAAAACCAGTTTAAGATTTCATCATACCCCAGTCAGACTGGCTAAGATCAAGAGAACAAACAATATCAAATGTTGGAGAGGATGTGGGGAAAGAGGAACACTCAGTCACTGCTGGTGGGACTGCAAGCTTATTCAACCCCTATGGAAAGCTCTGTGGAGAACTCTTAGAAAAAACTACAAATGAGCCTACCATTTCACCCAGTTATAACACTCCTTGACATATACTGAAAGATCTCATCTTATTGCAGAGACACTTGTACATCCATTTTTGTTGCTTGTCTTTTCACAATAGCTAAGAGATGGAAGCAACCTATGTGTCCTTCAACTGACGACTGCATAATGAAAATGTGGTTCATTTATACAATGGGATTTTAC